TGTTTTACCTAATGATCAAGCGTATAGTTCATGTCCATGATATAACGAGTCACTGCTGTAGATCATGAATATCACTGATCGAAGGAAAGAAAACAATGAAAACAACAGGAGAATTTTTTCATATTCGTGCACTTTTTTTTGTATATCCTCGAATTTTTAAGTCTTTCGTAGGTTTCTTCTGTGATACGTGCTAATTAATCGAAAATATTTACGATAACGTGCAACGTGAAATATATAAGATAGTTTCTTTACAAACTTTTATGACAATATTGGTATAAAAGATATAAGATTGCAGTACAAAGCAAAAAAAAAGAGAGATAAAAGAAGCAAATACTAATTTTAAGATTTTTCAAAAAATCTCTAAATGATGGGATAGAACATTGGAAAAGCATTAGAAGAGACGTGCAGGGAATGCAAGAGTTGCATTGTCCGAGTGCATCTATCAGTGTTCATATGTACATTTATCATACAGTGCATTTATAGATCAGTAAATTTTAAGCCTGACAATTTCTTATAATTAGCGTTTTCATTAATATCCGTTAAAATCATGCTTCTCGTAAACCTTAAACCGAGCGAACAAGACGTTAAACGCGTAGTATAACAGAAAAGATCATTCTATTGTCCGTCTATGATTGATACTCCTATCGAATGATTTCGTTATCTCTATAGAAGACTACAAATAGTCGACTTACTTTCTAAAATTATTTTACGCGACATGATCCCCTTATACATACTACGTACATTTTATTGTCATACGCATTATTTATCCGGCTAACGGCAAAACACCCTACTGCTGTGCCCTGAACGTAATGACGCAAACATGCATTTCTTTTGTAAATAACACGACGTTCCAGAAATACAATAAACAATTTACTTAAACCGAAACCTTGTTAATTATTAATAACGATTGTAACAGAGACACGTAACATTTATTGCTTTCGAAACATCATCGTCGAAGCTCCTTACAAAAAAAGATAATACTCCACCTGTTCCTTCTCTAATTATTAATGCTAATTACAATAAAACCACGAATATACAGTGATCGTGCGACATGTTATACTAATTGTAAGAGATACGACTTTTTAAAGGCCGTCGATCCACGCCCTTTGGAAAATGTAGGACACGGATCCCTTCGTTTATTTCATTGGTTTCAGTTTCCACGTTAGCTTATCCACCTGTAGTAAGAAGATAAACGCGCGTTATCGTAATATAACTGATATCAGTCTCGTTATCAGGGTTCGTTACCTGAAGCGAAGCTCAGTGTCTTTAGGCGTACTAGACAAATCGGTTCATTTACTCTGGGGCTTATTAAAAATGCGGAACGAGCTTCGCCTCGACCGCGTTTCCGGTTTCGCAAAATCGATCTTTCTCGGATGTCTTTTATTGTCGTTGGCGAGTCGGATTTCCGCTCAGAGCGGAAAGGAAACTTTCGAAAGTGTATTCGGATTGGACGGAGGTAAATCCGTGGGCAACAGCGAACAGCTTCACGGGGAAATCGATTCGAATGTCGGCGATGCATCGGCGAAGAAGACACCGGAAGAATTAGAGGACCTGACCGACGATGGGAACGCTTTCGGGGAGATCGACGAAGGGAAAGGGGATGAAACTCCAAATGTCGGCGACGTTGTGGAACCAAAGGAACAAATCACGTATTCTGAAGGTATTTCCGGTAGAGCGATCGGAGAAAAAAGCGGAAAGTATGTGAGATACGGTGAGTGTTTCGATATCGATGGGCGTGACCACTATTTTCCACATTTTGTTTCATCAGTCGAGATTTCGAGGTTCGCTGTCTCAGGGTTGATTCGGCAAGATCTTTGTTTCGTTTTTTTATCGCTCGAACAGGCGCGCGTGTAGTTTTTTCGAATCTGTATTCTTGGAATGTGTATCGTGTAGAAGCGTTATTTATTATATTGCTCCAATAACGAATCCGATCTTATCTAACTTTATCAGTTACTCACTCGTATGTGAATCGCAGATGAATCATTGGATATCCATCGTCACTACTTTCCTAATGATAAATCACGCTGTTCATCATTACTGCTTTATTTTTATGAACATACGCTCTCGACTATAAAATTACGGGAAACATGATACTTATATCTTCGATGTTTACCGTGTTCTATGAATATTTGAATTGTTGCCTTGGAATGTTATACGATAGTCGATATCCATATTGAGATGAGTCATAAACGTTCTCCTATGTATTCTCTACGCGTGTATTTACGTAATGTTTAACTTGAAAATCTAAATTCACATAACGCATCAAATCACCATAGATTCGGATTCACCGGAAGCGGACAGGTACGCGCCCCGCTCGTCAGATTCAGTTATCGATTACCACATAACTGATGCGCGACTAAACCAAATCCGTTCGAAGTTCATGTACTGGTACTTCGACAAAGGCGGCGATAACAATGAGGGCGATTACCAAAAAGAAATTCAATCGTCAACACCTCAGACACACAAGAACTTCAACTTCCAACTGCCCTTCTTCGGGTTCAGATTCAATTACACCAGAGTACGATCAAACTGAATTTTCTATAGTCTATACCGATCTTAGAGGCAAGGGACAATAAAGAATTGTTTCACGTTCTAGGTGTCTATGAATGGTTTCCTAGAGTTCAGCGATCCTCCCGTGCACTACACTTACCCCCTGGTATTCCCCGTGAAAGATTGGCCGAAGAAGAATGATCCTAGTTTTATAGGAATATTCTTCAGCAAATGCCGAATAGGTGAAATAAGGCGGGACGATATAGACCAAAGACAACCGGGTGTCTACTTTAGGTACGTGAAGCTTCACTTCGCCGATAGACAATGAACATTAATTCGAACAGTACTGTGCGCTGAAATATTTCAGACTCGAGAGAGATCTACAAACGAGGAAGGACCAGTTCGGTGTCGAGATGCGGGAGCGTTTGAAGTGGGACATCCGCCAGGGGATAGTCGGTTCCGAGTCGTTCGATCCTAAACACGCTGTTATAGTCACGTGGAAGAACATGTCATTCGCCGGTGGCATCGATAATTCCCTTTACAAGACGAACACTTTCCAGATGGTTCTGGCCACAGACGAAGTGACCACTTACGCAATTTTCAACTACCTGAATATTCAGTGGACCAGTCACACGGAGGCTGGCGGCGACACCACCGGCGGGGAGGGTGGCGTTCCTGCTTTCGTAAGTTTCAAATCTTACCGTTTATTTTTTAGAAACGCGACTAAGCTTGTAACTAAGGATTTGAATTTAATAACGGCACCCTTGTTGTATATTGAAATTACTAAAAGAGCTTATAGTATTTGTAAGACTCTTGGAAATCCTGAACTTATAACGACGATGCTTGAGCGAGTAATGAGGATGACAATTTTCCTTTGTATCAGGTCGGCTTCAATGCTGGCAATGGAACCCAAAGCTACGAATACAAGCCCTACTCCCAAATGTCGACTATACGCGACTTAACGGGCAGAGGTTGGGCAAATGGTTTCCCAGGGCGCCATATGTTCAGGATAGACGAGAAGATCATGCTTGGGACATGCAACAAAGATATCGGTAAAGTTCGAACTTCGAAGGAACAATAATGAAAAGGGGAAAGGAAAGATTAGGGACACTGGGAATATTCGTGTGTTACAGCTGGAGCAAACTTGCCGTTAGTATTTGCTCCCGAAAGCGGAAACATGTTGGGCGGGACCATTGTCAACATCACTGGCCCTTGTTTCAATCGGAACGAAAAGATTCGATGCATGTTCGAGACTGTGATGGTAATAGGTACTGTGGTCGATAGCAATCGAGCCATATGCGTTCAGCCGTTTGTGAAGGCTCAGGGGTATATCCGGTTCGCGATTAGCATTGGAGACAGTAAAGTGTACAACTGGAAGGGCAAATATTTCATCGGTAAGATGAAGTTCAAGTTTGATTCGAGACTGGTGTTAATAACTTCGATACTTTCCAGAAACCCCAGCAACAGCAGCCGAAAAGATCTTTGTTGCCAGTACCGTTCACGAACGTCAGCCTGCCGAGATAAAAATCACTTGGGACCAGTTCAACTTAACTAGCAATACACAAGCTGGAGTACAAATAGCCCTATGGGGTTATCGTGAAACAAAGACTACCCCCGAGTTTGAATACATCACTCTCCTAGAGGTTGGTGAGCCGACAGTTCACGTCTAATGCTCAGAGATTATGCGATGTGATTTTATAAATGTAAACTTTACTAATCAAAATTTAGGCCGCATACCAAAACACTGGCTTCTACAACATCGTTCCAGCTACATACCGTGATGCGTACCACCCTTACCAGCAGGACATGACCTTCGGATTTATTCAATTGAATTTAACCAATCCGAAGCAGCACTCCGATCAAAACGTCACACCGTGCGTAGATCGTATTTAAACAATATTATTCGTTTCTCCCTTTTTACACGTGATTAATTATTTCCCAATGTTGTACAGGACTCTATGGAGTAGACCGATTCCTCTAGCGTGGTACTTCGGGCCGAGCTGGGAACGAGAAATGGGGGCAAAATGGCCGCAGCGACTTTGCGACAAGTGGATCATGAACGACAGATACTTGAAAAATTTCGCCTCCGAGATATCCATATGTCCGTGCACGTTGAAACACGCGTTGACCGACAAAGGGCGTTTCCTTCCGGATTATGACTGCGACAAAGACTCGAATTTGGACTGCCTCTACAACCAACACGCTCATCACTGTGTGAGAACTGGAGCACCGAAGTAAGTGAAAGTAAGATTCAAGTAACCTGAACATGTTCTTTAACACAATTTTTCCATATTAATAGCATGGACGGTTCTGAGCAACAATGTTGCTACGACAAATACGGGTTCCTGATGTTGACCTATGATCAGCAATGGGGTTCGAGGCCACATCGGTCTCATAATTTGGGATATTACCCATGGGATGAAGCCAACAAGGTCCCAACCCTTTCTCACTGGTACCACGATGTGATTCCAATCTATCTGTGCTGTATGTGGCAAGAAGAACACGCAGTGGGCTGCGAAACGTTCAGATTCGAGAGACGTCCGACGCAAGATTGCGTGGCTTATCAATCTCCCGGAGTAGCAACGGTGTTCGGGGATCCCCATATCGTAACGTTCGACAATTTAGAGTACACCTTCAACGGAAAGGGAGAGTTTGTTCTGCTGCGAGTGAACCATGCGAAAGACAAGCTCGATGTGCAAGGCAGGTTCGAGCAATTGCCGAACAACATACACGGCGAAGTTAAAGCTACCCAGTTGACCTCCATTGCAGGTAATTGAGGAAGCTTTGAAAGTCGAGAAGTCCAAATAAGACTTATTTCATAATTAATTGAGAATATATTGAATAAATATCTTCAAATTTCGTTCACAGCAAGGGGCAACAACTCGGTTCCGATAGAAGTTCGGCTGAGACCTAAACACGCTCAGTGGCGTTACCGACTAGACGTTTTCGCGGATAAAAAGCGAGTGTACTTTGACAGACCAGCCCTGAAATTCCAACACTTCCCCGGAGTTATCGTTTATACGCCGACGTACATTCTAAACCAGAGCGAAGTGATTATCATGTTCGACACTGGCGCAGGAGTGGAAGTGGTTGAAAACGAAGGATTCATGTCGGCTAGAGTTTATCTACCTTGGACCTATTTGGTACGGTTTAAGTGTTGACTTAATTTTTGAATAATTCTAACTTGCTTCACTTATACGGATAGCCAATTAATCGAGTAGTTGCTCGGGAAGATAAAGAAGATCGGTAACGCGTTTGGAACCATTTCAGAACAAAACCAAAGGGCTTTTCGGTAAATGGAACAACGACATGGCGGATGACCTAATAACCCCAGAGGGTCAAATAATAAGCGGGACCAATCTGAATCATTTCGAAACTGTGCACAAAGATTTCGCGTTGAAGTGGATGCTAGAGGATAAGGAGGACGATTTAAAGGGTGGCACGTTGTTTACCAGAGAATTCGGCAGGACTGCTAGTTACTTTGCGAATAGAACTTTCGAGCCTGAATGGCGGAAGATGCCTGAAGATATTATACCTACTAACAGGTGACTAGCTTATCGCTTCGAAGAAAGATTAACCGATCCATTATCATTAAAAAAAAGTAATTTATCTTTCAATTTGTTATAGATCGTATGACTTACAGCGAGCCCACGATTTGTGCGGAGATACGTATCAATGTCAATACGACTACGCGATGTCGCTGAATAGGGATTTAGCGCATTTCACGAAAAATTATTACGATACTTATACACAGATCAGGTATATCAACGAAGATGAACCAGGTGAGTGATTCAGAAATCGATGAATACCATTTGCGTAACGTTAATATAATGACTGATCCATTCTATCGTGTGTTCGATCGTTTACAGTGGTTTCGTGTGGTGTATTGGAGACACCACGATTCGGTCGCAAGAGCAACTTCTTCTTCACGCCTGGCACGAAGGTAACTTTCGAGTGTAACCAGGACTTCATACTGGTGGGAGATCAACGGAGGGTCTGCATGCCTGACGGACGCTGGGACGTGCCGGAATATGGATACACGGAATGTCTGCGTAAGTATTTATACAATGACTCAATCAGCAAGCAGACTTACGACATTCTTTCACGATGGGGGGACGACACACTGTTCAAGATAGTTACGAGATACTAAAATGAATATCGAAGCTTCGCCTGCACATTTTCATCGTGCAGAAACTCAGATCATAACTCATAGCTAAAAATAGTTATTACCTTGACCAGTGTGCGTTACCACAACACTGCGGATCTTAATGCGAATTCATCTCTTGAAAGATTGATCGATAGTGTAGAAAGAGGCTTGCCGACCAGATAAACGATAGCGTTAAGTAGTAATATCTGATACAAGTGCATAAAGATCTGCAGTCTACACATCACATTCGTATACCTATCATACTCTAAGCTTTTTGTTTTAATCGCCCTTTGTACCCTTTCGCGATCATTCTGATTCTCGTAATCTCACCTATCAAAAATTCTTATCATCAATCGGACACTCATCATTACGGTTGGGCCAAAGACAGAGTGGAGAATAAAAATTGTTTGATATTACATAAATATAGGTCAGGTCGAGTATGCTCAGCGTACGGCGTGGACTACAATTGGTATTGTTTGCGTCGTGGTAATTACCGTAACCGCATGTATCGCAGGCGCCTTTTTCTGCGTGAGGAGGGGTAATTCGAACGAGAGTTCAGTCAAATCGTGGCGCTTTTCCGAGCGTAGCTCTGCTATTGACAATGAAACCGCGTTGTTGAGGCATAGCACACCGTTGAAACCGTTCGACAGAGCGATCTCGCCGGTTAGCGATACTAGCACAACGACGAGCACTAGCAAAAAACGACATAGCTATGACAAAGTTTATCGAACACACGAGCCCCTACCAGACAGACCGGAAGTCGATTTCGAGGACAAAGATTGGGACCTCAAAGAGCCCTATTCCCCGACAGACTCCGAAAAAAGTACCTTAACGAACACCACCGAATCGATTAGGAAAGCTGGAAGCCCTACCAAAGAGAGCGACGTGTAAAGCTGTTCGTTTGGAAAAGGCAACTCGTAACGAAACGAACCAATGAATTGGAAGTCTTCGTTGACTAAACTTTTGATTTGTGGTGCGGTTAATGTTTTGGGATGGTGTTTCGTGAATCGATTCGAGTAGACTTCCGTTTAGTATAGCGTACGTTTTAGTTATTGAAAACTGATTAGTAGGGCATTATTGTTTTAGACTAAAGGTCGCTAATAGAAAAATGTCTTTTAAAATCAGTTTCGAATTAAATTAATAATCAGGCTGAACGGATACGCTTTATGACTCACGGTGTATACGTACTCTTCGATTAAGAAACTTATCATTTGCACGTTCAAATCATTGGAGGCATTTACCTTCCATGACAAATATTTATAAGCATTTTCCTCTTCGATTTTCGAAACTATTCGCGTTCGGATTGTCGCCGCAATTTAGCGTTAAATCGCGCGCGACGAATATAATTGTATATCATTTCCACAAAAGACGAGTCCGCGCGACTGGAAACGAACGAAATAATCGCAGAACACGATTGTACAGGGTGGTCATTTTTCAGCCAGTAGAAATTTGCTTTTGTTTTTGCTGTGGAATAGAAATGTGTCGGTTCACTGTACGATATGTATTGGACATATTGTTGTTGCATCAAAAACGAGTTTTGTATTTGTGAAAAAAAAAATGTAATGAAGAGCATGTTTCGAACGGTGCTGAAACGAAGTTCATTATAGTATGATTGTATAAAATGCTTACTTATTATTGTAAGAACGCAGTTCAATAAATATTTTTTTACACCTTTAAATGCTCAGGAAATTTCTATTCCACATGCATTCGCCAACATATTCGAGCAAATATTTGATACACTCGCTAGAGATATTTTATTGGAATGGAAATTTCCACCAGTGTTATTGTCATCACTTTTAGTTACTCTTATCCTTTCACCTTCATCCTTTCCATAGCCTTTTGCACTCGGAAGTTTTTCACCGGAAATATTTTAACATTTTCTGATGAGATAAACACGATATTTTGTGAAACTAACTCGAAGAGAAATCGCACGTATATTGAAGAACAAAGCTATTTTATTTCAATATTTCTCAAATTGATACATTATACGAAGTATAATATTAAATATCAAATTTTATAGTTTCACTGTATGAAATCGAATGGTGAGTGAGAGTCACCTCTCGAGTGCAAAGGGTTAACAATCTAGTATCATAATCTAATTTGGCTATTCACGTTTATCTATTGTTCTAATTCTTTTTGTGTTTATTAATTCCACCAATTTCATTAAAAATCACAGGTCAACAGGAATATAGTTCACGACAGGCTGGTACTGCAACTGGTATAGTACTTGCTTGCCTAGTACCAATTATACTTCTAATAGTGTTTGGAGCTATCAGGTTGTTAAAGAAACAGAAAAAAGAACGAGAAGAGGAGGAGAAACTCGCTAGGTATAATACTAAGAAGCCATTACCAAACCAATATAATTATGCAGCCACAATTTTTGTTTTTAATTAAGTATGAATAATGAAATACAATTCTTGCAGAACAAGAAGTGCAGAGCTGCAGAGATTAAAGAAAATCGGAGAAGATGAAGAGCCTGGACCTTACACAATCAAAGCAACAGAAATTAACTAAGTAGTATTTAATGAATTTTTTATAAAATCTTTTTTACAACTTTCCTCGTGTCATCCTACATCAGACATTTATCATTTGTTCATACCAATATGTTATCATATACATTTTAAATAAGTATTCATAGCAAACTTAATTAGCCTTAATTAGTTAATTTATATAATCAACCAATTACAAAATGAAACACCTATTTAATGGTAGAAATATACCAATACAAATATACCATTTAAAATTTATTGTAATTTTATATTGTTACACAACAAGAAAGACTGGAAAATATAGTTAAATTCAGAGAGAAACCGTTGTTTAAATCAGAAATCAGCAAATCTGTCGTGCGAATAAAAAATTCCATACAGTGAAAACAAAATGGACGCCAGGCTAATGCAACAAGTTAATGCATATATTCACATGATTATTGTGAATAAATGTCAAAGCGAAACCTTTACATATTACTATTATTTACCACTTAATATTCGCATGAACTCCTACCAAAACGCTGACAAATGAATATTAACTCTCCAATCACGGGCAACGTGGAAATCGCGTTCTAAATATTTTATAAAACATCCCCGCCTCCTTAAATGTTAACCTCTCTTAAGTACTTTATTAGGCTATTGTCAGTTATCGAATGTCCCTTATTTCATTAGTTTTTATCCGACTCTTAGGGCGCGTATGCCTAAGGAATAAAACTAAACCGCGATTTCATAAATGTTAACGAGGCCAATTCGTACTTACGGTGGCAGCGCAGTTTCGTGTTTGCCGCTCCGACCGTTTGATTGTGACAGCCGTTACAGGACTTAATGCCGGCGAGCTGTATCTCGTTTCCAAACGAAACCCGATTAAGACAAACTTGAAACAAATTACCCAAATATTACACCGTACGTTCCTCGTTATTATTCACTTTAGAAAAACGTCCCCGCACAGCCGTTACATTACACATTGCGAAACTTTCGACGCGCACGTACCGTTTGAAAAAAGTCCCTTCGACTGTGCGACGCGCAGCCAACTTCAGGCCGTTGAACGAACATTGCCCCCTAGCATCAGAAATCGGCAACTATGTCACGAGTTACCGACAGTCCGACGCATGGCGTCGCGTCACTCGTACCGAGTGGTAATTCTACCAGCGCGTTATCCAGTGATTAAACTATTTATGTTAGACTTCCTGCTTCGGGGGTTTAGGATGCGTGCCGTCCGGACGTTGTGTTTCTCGGTAACAGTGATTACGCGAATTTACAAACGTTACCAAAGGTAAACACGTTCCGTTGTAACAGAAACGAGTGCCAGTATCTGAGCGAAATTTTTGTGCAAAAGAATCACGTGATATATTACGGATCGAAGCAGTTCGGTGCGATGGAATTAATTGGATGACAGTCGGTGAAAAAAGTCACGGTACCAGAGGTATGTGGTCCTGACTATCGTTTATCGTAGAACAATATTGGTCTCCCTCTCGATCGACCAATAATTGGATAAATAAACTTCGGAATTAATCTTTTGTTTGCACCGTGTGTCATGCTGTTAAATATCAAATGTTCTGCTCGAGCATTGTCTACCGCGTGTAGATCATTCACTGACGCACTTACTGTTGTAATGATGAAGATGGGGTGGTTAATTCATTGTAAGGGAAATGAGGATTTATAGTCTTCTAATTTGTATTTTAACAGCATCAAAAGCGCTCGTAGGGAATATTGTAGAACTTTAAATGCTTAAAACTTTTAAAACTTTTAAAACTTTAAAAACTTAAATTACTAAACTTAAAATATACCGCTAGTGTAACATTTGAATAACACATTTAATAGATAGTAGCATAAGTTCTATGTTATCAGATATATTAACATATATTTGATGAAAGTCTCGTTCGTACGAAGAAATTCAGTGCTGATAAAGTATTTAGTTTTTGAATTTTAATAGAGCAACGCGACTAATTACTAAAATATGAAATATGCATGGCGGGGGTGAGTAACGCCCTCGATAACTTTCGGTGCGGAATTAAAATTGTACAGTATGCAGGAGGTACATGCAAATAATGAATCCATTAATGAATTTCTAATTATAGATCTTGGCATTTACACGATAGATTTCACACGCTAATCATTCTACGAGTTGGGAAATATGTCTTCCATATTACAATGGCTCGATCATGGCTAGGATGTTTTTTGGGCGTTTTAGTGCCATCGGCAGTCTTTTACTTGTATTTATTGTTCAATGGTAATGCACCGCGACATTCTTCAAGTTCTCAAGGTCTTCTAGGATTCTCACCGTGTATCATTGTAGTGCCTTCCGCTGAAATTGGTTCCTTCAAACTCGATGGGAAATCGAGCTCGTTGTCCCTGGACGAGAGAACGCGATTGCGCGTCGATGAGCCTAGCTTCCAAAAGTTCCATGTAGAAAATACTCAAATCGAGGTAAACATGCTAAAAGAATCGATCCGACGTGATCCTTAATTGCGTGTGTACGATAAACATGCAATTAAGAATCCAGTTTAGATAGGATCTTATCTTAGGAGCAGCATCGATCTATCCAGAGACATGGAAGATCGATGAACAATAGCTAGTATCCTTTTCATTCAAGGGAAAATGCGATACCGTTCACATCGCAATGGTCTGCGCCGGATACAATTCGACGTTGGCCCTGGTGACAGCAGTAAAATCCGTTTTATTCTACCGCACTAAACCGCTGCACTTTCACTTGCTCGTCGATGAGATCGCAAAGAGAACTTTGACGACCCTGTTCCGAACATGGGATCTACCTCACGGTTAGTTGAAAGCCCACCGGCATTATTATTCTCCTCCGTTCCTTAACGTTAATCGATCCAATTCTTCTTTCATCGATCGCAATGCCGAACTTTGAATCGTATTGTCCCCGTTACATTAGTCATTCAACGTCGGCAACCGCTGGAAAACATTTAACTAGCGGTGACCCGGTTCCAACAATTAACCGAGTGAACTGAATTAGACCAATTAACGGGCCTCGAGCAGATCGCATTACTCAAGGAACGGACGGGAGCCAATAATGCCGTGAGCCAGCACGGGGTCGACAATTTTTTTCGTGCTCGTTCCAGTGAACTTGACGTACTACAAGGCCGAGCGATGGGTGCCAAGCGTGTCCTGGATACCGAACAAGCATTATTCCGGCGTTTACGGTCTCCTAAAGTTAATTCTGCCGGACGCGATGCGGGAAGACAAGGTGCTCGTATTCGACACGGACGTGACCGTCCTAAACGACGTTAGTTTGCTTTGGCGGATGTTCGAGAAGTTCACGAACGATCAGGCGCTAGGATTGACGGAGAATCAGAGTCATTGGTACATAAAGGCGCTGTCTTACGGGCAACGGCCATGGCCAGCTCTTGGCAGAGGGTTCAACACTGGCGTGATGCTAATGCAGTTGCAGCAACTCCGTAACAGAAAATTTATGACCCTCTGGGAAACAGTTACCAAGCGTGTGCTCGCCCGCATACCGGAAACTAGTTTAGCCGATCAAGATGTAATAAATGCGGTTATCAAAGAGCACCCGTCTATTATATATAAAATAGAGTGCACATGGAATATTCAACTGAGCGATCACACGATCAGCGATCTTTGTTACCGAGACACTAGTCAGATAAGTGTACGTGCATTTTTCAACGGAGCATAACTACTCTACTCGAGTTTCTCCGAGGTTTCCATTATCGGGATGCTTTTAGATCGTGCATTGGAACTCTCCTCGAAAACAGGATGTATATAATAAGCACATCAACGAGTTCCGTAAGTTGCACAAGGTCTTCCTCGAAATGGATGGGAATTTGCTACGCAGACGTTTGTTCGGTTGCGATAAGCACGACGAAACCGTGTCACAAGTAAGTCTCGATTTTAAGTATCACGGCGACGCGATCGAAGAATCTTAATCGCGATCTTTCGCGTGGTTAATCCACGGACAGCCCTAAGCATCCGTTAACGTTCGTCGACGGCAAGAAAGCGATTTCTAATTTCCAGTACAACGAATCGAGTCCGTGTCAGGATTTCACCAGAGGCGCAACCATGTTGTACCGCACTCACCCTTTCCTCCTAGAGTACGAATATAACGTGTACGCCCCTGCAGACGTTGCTCTGGTAACTCAGTGTAGCGTGGAGAGAATACCACTGCTGGAGGACCTATCAAAGCACTGGCCAGGAACTATAAGCGTCGCGCTTTACCTCACTGACGCAGAAGTGCAGAATTTCCTCGAATTCGTGCGCGGATCCATCGAATTACGCACGAGGAAGAATATCGCGTACCACGTAGTCTATAAAGATGGGGTGCGTTTTGTTTTTAAAGTTCGAGGACGTACACAGATCACAGTCTAGGAAATTATTTCAATAAAAGACGACTCCTCTTCTAGGATCTGTACCCGATCAATTACCTGAGAAACATCGCGATGTCTTATGTATCGACTCCATACATTTTTCAACTGGACGTCGATTTCCTGCCGCAGTACGGGCTACACGAGGGCCTCATGAATTACATCTCTAAATTAAATATCACCGAATCGGACAAAGTAGCTCTGATCGTGCCGGCATTCGAGACCGAACGTTACAGGTATTTCCGCTCAAGCGGCTTGCAAGCGCATTCAGATCTGTTGTCTGCCGCACAATGTGTACACCCTCGGTGATTCGATGCGTTGCACACTCACGTGAATGCATGAAATGTCTCTGGCGGGTTTCGACTGCCGATTACATTCGGTCACGGGAACAAATGTCTCTTTGAACGTGTTAAGATCGTACCGCGATATATATATATATATATATTGGACTTATAGATAGAATTAACGGCGAAACGACCGAGCGAGTGACCTGTCATTATGATCATTTATATCGGATACCTGTTCCGAGAAATACTTTATCGAATTAAAAACAATTTGTCAAGAGAATGGGATTGTAATGGCGGGATATAACGATTCGCGTTAGAAGCCAAACACGTTTCGTGCACTCGTGCGAGGGCGGCGCGAATCAAACGAGCTGGGTGTGTTTTATAGGTTCACATTCCCCGCTGACAAAAACGAGTTGTTGAAGTTCTTGAAACGAGGAATTTTGTACACCTTCCGGTACCATGTGTGGACTCAAGGCCACGCTCCCACTAATTATAGTTACTGGCGGAACACGATGGAACCGTACGAAGTACGTGACGTAAGCCGACCGCGATCGTTTCCCCGAGCTGCAAACGATTAAGTTAATGTGATCGTAGGTCTCATGGGAACCAGATTTTGAGCCGTACATCGTGGTCTCGAGGCTGGCCCCTAGATACGACACCAGATTCGTCGGTTTCGGGTGGAACAAGGTTTCCTACGTGACGCATTTGACGATACTAGATTACAAGTAAGAGATCCCCCGTAAGCGGCTCGTTAGTAATCTTAATTGCATTGATCACTGTAGTGCGATACCATAAATTGAGGATTTATATAGGTACATCGTTTTACCGGATACGTTCATTATCCACCGACCTCATGCACCTAGTCTGGACATCGGCAAGTTTAGGACTGATTCTATTTATAGGAGGTAACGTATGAAAAATATAATTATAATATGGACGATCACACACTTCGATCCCTACGAAGATTACCTGTCAAATAAACCATTTTCCGAAACATCCGCTGATTTTCTTATCAAAAGCAGAAGGAATCCTTAAGAGTGTGTTGATTGTGGAGCACTATGTACAACGTGTTGGAACATCGCCATATTGGATGAAATAAAACGGATGTAATTGCATTCACTTTTTTCTCTATTACAATGCCATTCCAGATGCTTGAAGAAGTTGAAGGACGACTTCGTCGAAGAGCTGCTGGCCAAGTACGGCGAGAGCGCGCTGCCAAAGTTAAAGAAGCTAACCAAAGAGGACAAAGTATTGAAACCCGTTGGAACCAAATAATTGACAATATTTATGATAAATATTTTGGGCGATTCCGAAGGTGTTAATTATATTATTTTCTCAATAAAAAGAAAAGATATCTTGCTGAAAAAGAAAATGATGAAACGTTGTCCGTCCCCTGTTCCGTGGATTATTTGTGAAAAGAGTCGCATTGAAGTCAATGGGAATGGGGTTGGGAAATATTTATTAAAATTTAACCATCGTAGTGGAGTGTACAGAGTGGTGCTTTCAGTACATTCTCTTAATGTTACAGTCACGCTAGATATTTCATTTATAAAATATGTATAATATTTACAGTGATAGTACATTGACATGGCATTATAAATTATAGTCGGCCGAGAATGTTACACCGAAACGGAACTAAATTCGGTTGAACGCGTGGCATGCCGCGTTGTTACATGGTAAAAACTCTCGTACAAAAATAATCGTGGCTACAACGATCGCAATGATAATGAATAACAGCGCAAAAACGTAAACGGTTATTGAATCGGATCGTTAATAGGAATATTAAATAGTTTTAACCACAGCGATAATCATAATGATAGTATGATAACACGATTATTGATAAGACGACGGCGTTACGTATATAATAAAAAGTATCAAAGAAATCAGACGTGGTCAACGTTTCCGCGAAATGTTACGTCGATTAATTCCATCCTTAACGTTTCTATGTTCATCTAGGATCTAATAAAAGAAAGTGTTCTGAACGCTACCTACCCTAAAGAGGTTCCCTTAACGTTTATATCGTGACACGCAAACATAGTTCCTTTACATTTATAATAATCCCTATTACGATAAAAACACTTGAAAGCGTTCTTATCCTGTACAACGGTGAGCTGTACGAGATACGAAAATATGGTAATGGAACGTCACTTATTCATGACTCAGCCCAGAGTAATGTCTACACACATTCATCAAGTACGAGAGAAACCTGGACGCGGCCTGATCCACAGAAACACGTGTCCTACACCGTTTTCGCCTAACGGCTCATCGTCAGGAACATGTCTCGCGTTTCTGCACGTCACCATTTCACATACGCTATGTATACACGCGGAAAGTGGCGAAAAGTCCTTCCGTATCCGTTCACAGACCTGGCAATGGAATGAATTAGGCAGTTTCGACGGCGATTAGGACACGACTCGAGCGATCACACGAGAAAGCACACTTGCATACATCCGACGTCTCGGCTAACGTTCGCATGGACGAACCGTCGTGTCGCTGTTACGAGAAACTCGGGTCTCGGCACTCTGTACAACCCTCTGTGATTGGACGTCGCGTGATCCTGTCAAATTACAGCGCAGAATAACGATAATGGTACCTTCTTTTCCAGGGCAAATAAACTGTAACTACCAATTCCGCTGGTTAATTAAGTTATAAAACAGAAAAGCATACATCCGTTCAGACTTTGAAATGAAACAATCAATAGGTTTTAATATCGATTATTAGTTTCTCGAGATATACTTTGAAAGTTCAGTTCTCGTTAATGCGTTCCTTCGATGTTCAATCATTTTAATGTAGAACTTATTTCTGTCTTGCATTAATTGTCCGGAATTCAATGAACCGCGCAGTACCACTCTTTCACTGTAACACTTAGGCCAATCGGGGACTTTAATTATTCACCGCGTCTACTTGTACGCGAAGAATGAGCAGTATCATGGGGAGGATGCTTCAGCGGCCTTGAGCAACTAATTCACTTCGTCTCCACGCGCGACCCATCACAAATTGGGTTTTACGACCGTCGAACGGTTCCAATCACAAAGAGTTAACGCGTTTGATCAGATTTACATTTGCAGCACTTGTCGTACGCAAAACCGTTCACGGGTTTTGTTTTCGCAACATGACGCTCGATCGACTTCGCAGAATCAATTAGGACATTCTCCCGTTCGCGAGAATTGTTCGCGGCTTCTGGATAGTTACCCGGTTAATTCGTCCTTTCGTCATCAACGCAATTCCTTCGGACCAGTTACGTATAAAAACGAAATTCATATCGTTTCTTTGTCGATAAATGTCAGTCTTCGAAGAGCAGCTACTACTTAATGCTGTAACGAAATGCTACACGAGCTCCGGTACGCAAAGGAACGACGTTCAAACTAATGCACGCGATGCACTTAAATCTATTTAAATTAATAACATCCTTAGCAGCACACGATTAATCCTTGAAAATCAAAGCTTACAGAATTCATGCTTGCAGCTGTAATGTTTAATTATTAAAGGCGCCCGAATACACGAACCAGTTCGGATTCAGGAGCCTCGAAATATTCGGCGCCATTTTGATTCCCACCTCCGAGCATTAGTCAATTAATTACGGAACCCTGCCACTGCAGTGCACATTAGTACCGCTGAGAATGTTTTACAAAAATGCATTGAAACGGAACGAATTCGGGGGATGTTACCGTCAGTTTTTGGAATGTGTTCAACGTGATCCGAAACGTTCTTTTCGATGTTGAAGATATCGATGACTCTGTCGAATGGTGTTATCGATTATGCCACGGATGTACTACATTGCGGTCGAAGGAAATTTTTGAATAAAACGACGTGAAAGATGATCGGTATCTTCGAGAAACGTCGTGCTCGGTGGTATATCACGTTGAATTAGATTAATTATGCGCACATTACGTCCAGATGGCTGTGGTCGGATCAGTGTATTGGACGGTACTTTCATCTGCACGCTCGCAGATGCAGTCAAGAACTTCACGCCAATATCTCAGTGTCAGGACTGGGGATGTTCTCCAGGACAGTCGGTCGGAATAGGGTTCGAGTCATCGAACTCGGCAAAAACAATTATATCATGATATCATCATAGATTTTTGAGATTGCGGGACAACATCGATTAGAATCGTCGCTCCTAAAGCGATCGATTTCGTAAGAAATTTCGCGTCAGAATGAATTTCTTTTGACAGCGTAATCGAGGATGCAAATGGAACGATCGACTGCAATCGTTACACCTGAATTTCTTTACAGGGTTCACAGTAAAATTTGAATTTGATTTGATGGGCTGTTTAGAGCTTGCACGCCAACGAACTCGCAGGCGACCCTGCACCGTTCATACGTCCAATCCCCTTCGAACTATACGCTATTGGTTGAAACCAGTTTTTGTTAAAATCAATATTTACAAACTGCCTCTAGTTACGCGGCCATTCGCGTCTGTCAACATGCTTCGCGTGATCGTCGATTTTGCGATTGCGCCCATGGGGGTTCGCGATCCAATTTCCCTTCCGTTTAAAAAATTCATGTTTGCCGTGCCTTGTGCGAGCAGAAACGTAATACTTCCCTGCTTTCTCAACCGAAGGTAACGTACGAGTTCAACCGTCTAGAACAATTTCTCTCAAACGAACAGCACAACGACGTCCAATTTGACTAAAATAAAATCGTCGGAAGAATTTAAAACAGACACGGATTAACCTCGTGATCCCATCATACGCATACAAGACGTTTCTCCGATCAAATTCATAAAAGTAAAATTTAGAAATCCAAGCGCAAAGTATGCGTCTCGTTAACCAGTTAACCGTATTCGAAGAGTATTCCCTGTTACCTTAAATCCCAAAGTGATACTAATTTCTCCAAACAAACATGTAATTCTCTTTCATTTCGCTTTAGCTTTTTATTTCAACGTGTAACTAGGTGTATCTGTTCTACGTTCGACGTATATACTCGTCACCGGTTGATTTCATTACACATTCCACCGAGAGACTTTGAGAAGCAAGTTCCACAGTTAACTGGTTAAAAATCCTGAGCGAAACGTGTCCGATAGGAACGCGGCATTTGCAATTACACGCGCCTCGCCGCTCCCCGGTCCCGTCAGTGAACCCTGATCCCCGTTTGACTTCCGTCGTAACGACTTCAAGCGGATATGTACCCGTCGGGTAGATACGCAAGTCATTAGAGAAGTGAAATGGTAAACGGAGTCGGTTCGAAGTGTATCGCGGGTCACGTGCATCGATCGCTCGCGATCTTCGCGTCCGACGACTGTTCGAGCTGTCAAAGAGGGATTCTCATTACACCCGACCAACAACCTGCCCTTTCGCGGTCGCGCAAAGTATTTCGCGATAATAATTGCGCCGACTGCCGAGTCTCGTTCGTCGCGCGCGGACCCCGGTAAACAGGGCCCGGCTAATAGCGCATAGAGCACCGCGAGGTTGACATCCGCAGTAATTGCGGGCTTGTACGTGTTCCATTTCCACGTATACTTGTCGCCGGCGTCATTAAGTGGGAGTATGTGACGCGAGAAGGCAACGGAAGGGATGGGTTGGCTCGTGTTCTCGCGAAACGAGCCCCGCGAGGGAGAAAGATTCTACCCTTCCTCTCCCTGGAGTGTAAATGGAGAGAATTCTGATTTAGGGTGACTAACGTGTAACGCTCCGGGTGAAGGGGAAAAGTAGCTGGATGGTAAATATTTCAGAGTAGCGAGCCATTATTTCGAGGTTGATTCGCAGAATCTCGAGTAGCTTGTGTTTCAAGCGGATAGAAATCGTAAGGTTCGCAACGGAAACACCGATCGCTTAAACATCGTAACACATCGATGGGAAGGGACAGGCTTAAAATAATCAGAACCGATATGAGGTCTCTCGCGGTACCTAAACGACGAAGCTGAAGGTCTCCCGCATTACGAGCAAAATCTTCGCGTGGCACTCGTTAAAACGCGCACCGAAATTCTCATTACCAGACTCATCTCTAAGCTTCCCCAGTCTCAATTTGGAGCACGGCATAAACCAACGCGGAGATGTACTCGCCGTAAGCGTCGCCGCGATCGAGAAATCAACGCGATGGAGCCGAGTTTAGGGGATCCAGAAGTACCGTGCAGCTCTAACGACCGTTCAATTATATTTTACTGGCCGTATCGCGCGCGATCTGGATCCGGTTAATTCCCCGGGCGTCGGTGTCGTTGATCCCGGGGCGGGGACGTAGAGACACGAGGCCGTCTTCCCCAGGCCGCGGTCGCCGTGTGACTGGACGTGGCCGGAGAACCCGTCAAAATACAAAATTACAAAAATATACTCGTGGCGCCGTGTCAACCGGTCGTGCCGCGCTGCTTTCAACGTGGCCGCAATTTACATATAAACAACGTCGTGGATCAGCGTGCAATTAGGGTCCGTGTATTTACAGGGCGCGGCACGACGATTGGATCGGACGAGCCGCGACTCTGCTAGGCCGCTTAAAATAATTCGCGACGATTCCTGCACGGACGTGTAGCCTCGGCCCCGGACTCCCCCAATTTTCTTCGTGGTCGCAGCGTTCCCGATCCCCCACTTCCACCGGAAATGAGAGGAGAAGGCTGCCGGTTGGCACCTGTTTCGCGGATCCGATTCATCGTTCTTCGACGGTGCTCTCGCTAAAGATCATCGTCGTTTGTTTCCCTGCGGCGGCGATTAACCCGTTGACGCGTTAAATACGGCCAAGGGACCGAAGTTACACGACTGCGTCGCGATTTTCTCCGCGTCGTCTCAACGGCTCCGCGTAATCGTACACGAGTCTCGTTCGTAATACTGTTTAGGTGCGTTTACGATCGTCGGGGAAGGTGCCTCGTCGTCGTTCGATCGACTCGTTTGATCGGTGTTAATGGTCGGTGTTCGCGATCACTGGCGGACAGTTCTACGAAAAGTCAAATTTTACGAGGAAGCTGATCAAAACGATCGGAGGACTCGATGATTGTTAGGCGACCCTAGAGGAACGATAAAACACGAAACTCGATGCGCGTAATTGTACATTTTATCCAATAATCGCGGTGAATGGGCTATCTTATGTCGTGCGTTTACAACGTCGAAAGTACCGTGGAAATTGTTTGTCGTCCCCTAACCGTTTTGAAAATTGATGTACTCGGTGATAGGAAGGTAATCGACGAAGTGTAAATATTTGGAGAAGGATAGAGAATTTGGAATATATCCTGTTGGAGTATAGTCGACTGGATTCGAATAGCGTTACCGAGCAAGGATTCTTCGCCGCTCGCAACAAGTTGCACGCGATCGATCCGAAAATCCCCGGTAAAGGTGGGAATGCAACGTTAAGCTCCGGATAAAACGCACCGAAAGTATAACAAGTTCGTGGCTTACGTGTAATAAACTCTGCAGTTGAAAAATGATCCTGCCGGAGAGCTGGTATCGATCAGTCGGAATCACACTGGCGCAAAGTGTTTCCCCTTCCCGATCAAAGGTGTTCCATTAGTCGTTGTACAATTAGTCTAATAACATGACCCGAGAAAGTACGGAAAAAGGTATTAAAAAGTAACCTCGTTGCCTAGGACTGAGGATCGAATTGAAAGGTAAATTCAATTAAAAAATAACCACGTGTCCGAGAAGTCTGCTACAACGTCGTTTAAATTCGATTCGTCCGTTACACATGGATCGCGTTACGCGTTAAAATCGCTACGAAAGTGTATCTACTAGTTACGTATACAATGGCGTCCTCATCGTTACAAATTGGGCCAGTTTTTCGTTCTCGTCGTTGGCGTCTCCGTCATTGGCACCGCCGCTTTACAAGAAGATCGTGTACAAAACGTGATCGTCGTTCAACGCGTGTTCTCCGTTAGGCAAACAGTCAGCGCGACAATAAATAAGACGAATGGTACCCGTTCACCCATAACACCAGCGTCTCCGTTCATTAAAAGATCGATGCGCGAATGGAACGGACATCGAGCTGTCCCATAATCCACCATCTTCATTGTCGAGTGTCACGAGAAGTCAACCGACAGACCGTGCTCTACCAGAGTCCACCACTAGAAGTTTCGGTTTGTGAAAGTCGAATCACTGTGTATGTCGTCCGCGGTGAGTCTCGGCACAGAACATAAATAAATTAGAAAACGCAGGAGAACAGAGAAACACGGAGAGATAGAAAGAGATCAAAGAGAAAAAGAGAAAAACAGGGACGAGGAAAGAACGACCGGCGAAGGCGTCGCGTGCCGAAAAGTTCTGCTGGTTCCTTGCGAGTCAGCGGTTCGCCCGACGACCTGTTTCACCGGATGTGGAAGCCCGCCGTACGATCGTCCGTCAGCACATTCGCCGGGCGAAGTTACGCGCTCGAACCAAGTATCGACCCGCGCGTCGCGTCGCGTCGCGCCGCGTAGTTTCGCGTCGTGTCGCCGCGCTGGTCGTCTCGTCTTCAAAGGCACTACCGATTTATTGTGACTGCGGTCATGCGTCTCTCCTCCTCAGCACGGCCACGACCTCGCGGCCTCAGCTTCGCCGACCCATGTACGCTGATCATACCTCGGTGCCATCTTCTCCTTCGTCCTCGTACAGGGGTCCATTCGTGGACTTCTTCTTGGGCTTGGGCGGTGGCCTGGGCGGGACTTTTCTGCCGAGTGTGTTGCTGCTGCCCGATTGTTGTTGGGCTAGAACGTTGTTGCTGTCCGTGGACTCGTCGGCTAGTTTAGCTGGCCATTCGGCTGCGCCCTCGGGGGCGGCTCTGTCCAGCGGGCTGCTGGTTAGTATGTTCGGGGTGCTTCGTTGTATCGTGCCATAGTGCGAGCTAGGCGTCCCCGGCAGGGGTCTATTCCTCATGGAGGACAATGGCTCGGGACTTTTGTTCAGAGAGAGCACGGAGCTTCCGTCCGCGGTGGTGCGCAGCCCTAGGTTATCGTAGACCGGTTCCAGGCCGTCCGTCGGCGACATCGGTGGTCCGCTGCTCCAGCTAGGCGCTCTCGGTCGCCGTGGTATCGTCACGTAGCCGTGCCGTGGCATCACCGGCGCGATCGTCGAGCTCGCGATACCGTACGGCGTGACGCTACGATTGTGGGGCAGGGTCTTGAACGCGGCTGGGTATTGGTTCGAGGGCGAGCCGAACGCGGCCGTGGTGGGTGTCGCGTGCTGACTCGGAAGACGAGTGTTGTCAGGTGCTGTGGATGCTTGGCTGGTCGGCGAGGCGCCGCGACCTCCGGAGAAGGCCAGTAGGTCCGGCGGATACTGGCGGTAGCTACCACCTCCTCCACGGCACAGGGTACCGGTACCGCTCTCGAGCTCGGGGGTAGCTCGTTCCTCCCTCTCGTCGTCGCCGACCCCTCCGATCACTCCGCCGCCGACACCGCTACCGATACCATCAGCTGCCAGATCATGAACAAAAAAAAGAAGGAGGAACGTTAACAAACAGAAAAGTGGAGAGACGCGTGGTGATGAAACGAATTAAAAAAAGAGAGAAAAAAAATGAGAGAGAATAAGTTGCGAGATGTTGCGTGTCCGAGCGAATTGCCCGGTTTGTGGCGTGTTTGTGTCTGGATTTCTGGGAATGGGAAAGACGCGAACGCCTTTTCGATCGAAGGTGTTCGATCGTCGCATTCAGTCACGCGCGGGTCAACCTCTCGCGGGATCTTTCGACGCGGGGGGTGCGGACCGAACGGCGAGGAGGTCGTAATCATGGGAACAGGCTGAATCCTCCTTAGCGCGACAAGTTAGATGGAACGTCCGATATCGCGTACCGATAGTCGAGGGTATTACATAATGTAGTGGAGCTGTCGTGGCTTATATCGCGAAGACACGTAAATCGATCGTGCCGGGCGAGATAAAATTTCATCGCGGGAAAAGTGGGTCGACTTCTGCCGTCGGAGTTACCCGAATGCGCCGTTCGAGTTTATAAATTAAATGGCGGGGCCGCCCGCCGCGATTCGTGTCGTAACGAATCTGTCAAGAAAATGGAACGGAGGTCGACGTCGATGCACACTCGTCCGTTTTTATCGCGTTTCACTCGCAGCCACTGACTTCGCTCGCAATCTTCTCGACGAGGAGGAGCAGAAGTCGGTCCCTGCGCGACACACCGTCGTCCTGCGCCAGTTCCTATTACACCGGGAGTCGTTGCGGCAATGTTGGTGGCCAGGTAAACGAGGGAACCCGGTAATCATGGAACTTTTATCGCGGTCCGTGTTTTTTCCGAGGATCCGAATGCAATTCAATGACGGTCTAAGGAGAAAGTAGAACACGCTCTAGGGGAATAAGGATGCGCTGGGGATCAGCCGTAACCGCGACGGATATACAAAGGATTGCGGGAGGGATAGCCGAGATGTTGGATACGAGATCCTCGATTATATTCCGATTACCTTTGAAATCGCACAGACCCGCGTGGAGGTACGATACTCGCGATTTACCTATATCTTTATTTCGATGACCACCGCGTGGCAAATGAATTCAATAATTGGTAAACAAAATGGCCCCACTCGATAACGCTCGGAATTCTGATATATTTTGGTCGCCATTGTTTCTTATATTATCGGTTTTCACGAAACAGAATAAAGTTCCAATTTAAACCACCGTTTGCCCGGTAATGTCGCGAAATTTTCCGTATCGTCTTACGGTTACTCGAGGCATTTCGCTGCTTCTGTCCCGGTGTACACGCGAATTCAACTAGACGCCTCTCTCTTCTCTCCCACGGCTGACGCTTATTAATTATGTACAGCACCAGTAGAGTCTCAAGACAAAAATAATTCAATCCTCTGGAACGCTGCTTCCCGCCGACGTATAATTTACCGCCTCTGCTTTGCTCCGCGTATTTACACCTTTATCAAAATAATTCGCGAAACGTCGCGTTTCGGGGATACGACGATCAGATAGGTCGCGTCTAATTAACGACGCGCCACGTCGGCGCACAGACGCGGCCGCCCGATCTTCCACGAGAAACGGGGCTCCCGCTCGCGTGGAGGAAAAACGGTATCGCTGCCAGCCAGACACAAATGACGAATGCCTTTTTCCTCTCTATCATTACGTGTTGCACGCTCTCATTAATCTTGCAACAGTCTTGGCCGATACTTGTTAACCCGGGATCGATGGCGCCTCGTTTATCTGCCGTCGGGATTACTGAACCCCGCCGCAACGTTCCGACGCGATCGTCTTACACTTAAATACATTCGCCGTTCGCAATACCATTAATCCGTTCTATCCCTTAATTATCGATGTTCAACCATTCCGCGGATGTTCACCGCGGTTCCTTTCAAAGGAAACTGGAAGATCGATGGCCGCCGTCGTCGACGATGCCCAAACTGAATTTTCATTTTCGGAATTCATCGACGTGTACGTCTCGTTAAACTCTGATCGATCGGTTACCATCGATGCCGGGTCAATGGTTTCCGCTATTGTTTCGGCGAAACATTTTCAGCGTTCAATTACGACGAGAATACGTGTTAATTCTTTTAATTCAAATTGCGCCCGGCGAGAGATAAAACGGGAAATCAAATCGAACATTCCTTCGAAATGTTTTGATTAATTCATGTAAACCAAATTGAATTCCGCGACCGACGGTATCTATTATATTTTTGTTACATTTACGACCGGTCTCGCTGAAAATCATCCTCCACCGTTACGCGTTCCTATCGGCGCGAGACATTGATCAGGAGAAAGATTGCCAGGGGAACTATTCCGACTATCGGTTTCTCGAGAACGTAATAGCACCAACGAGGTAATTATTCCTCCGTTTTCCTCGAAACTAGCACGCCAGTCTCACACGCAACACCATCGAACCCGTGTCAACGTCGCCCGTCCCGCGAGCGTTCTACGTTTCGCCGTGATCGCCCGACGGAAGTAACAAATAGTTAGTAGCTAGCACCTGGCCACGCACTGTTTAGTAATGTAGGCTGTGTACTGACCAAAGACCGAGTCGTTGTCGAGCAATGTACGGTTCAGCTCCGTCATCTCGGTGCCGTGCGACGTCACGGACGGCGCCTCGTACCGTCTGGGCGGCTTCACCACGGGATTTATGGTCGTGATCAAGGACTTCTCCTGCTCGCCGAGGCCGTGGTGCTCTATCGAGGCGGCCTCCAGGCTCTTCTCGTCGTGCCTCGTCCTACGGCGCCGACAGTAACACACGCAAAGGGACACAGTGACAATTAGAAGTACCAACGCCGACACACCCAATGCCAAGGCCAGCGGCAGACTGATTATATTGTCCTTGCCGCCTATAGCGTCTCCTGCGATAGCCAGGGTCACGTTTTTCTCGGTATTTCCGCCAGGACTTTTCGCCACACAGACGTAATCACCCTTGTCGGAAAGCGTGACGTCCGGAATCGTGAGGTTCAACCAGTCGTGGCTCGACTTCAGGATGTAGCTTTTCTCACCGTTAGGCCGCCTCGTCTGGTTGTTCAGAATTCGGGACCGATACAGCCAGAACAGCTGAAAAACGAGAAGCAAGCTTTTCATGAGATCCTTCGATCGCGTCGGGACATTCTCCGACGACGGAACACCGTCGACGAGACCTGCCTCGACGTACAGCGGGAACTAAGCACGGAAACCATTGGAAAAACTCAGTACACGATATACCGTTTCTCGAATTATTCTATTTCTCTTCTACTTTCCGTATTTTCCGTCGTCGAGTTCTAGGATCATTCTCTTCGGTTTATAGAATAAAAAGAGAAATAGAGCGATCACTGTTCCACGACAAAAGTGATTCAGCCGTGAATCCGAGTCAGCTGAGGGCCGACTCGTAAAAAAATGAAGACGCGGCCGACTCTCGTACGCGCGGACAATGGAAGTTGGGCCGCGGAACAGTGCGAGCTCGCCTTAAAGGTGTTCTTAATTTTCGGCCTTCGTGCCGGGAAAAATCTGAAAGGACTTCGTTATTACACGCAAAAGCTCCGCGTAACTACGCCTCCCTTTTGTACGGCTCGTATCAAAAGGCTGCCTTGTCCCCCTCTCGCCCCCGCCGGTTTCCTCTTTTTTCCGGCTGCGCGAATTCTCCGCGCGAGAATCAAAGAATTTCATTAAATCGAGAAAATTCCGCGACACGGTTTCCAACGCGGTCCCCGCGACCCGGTCACAAAGACGCACGAATTACCGCACGTATTAAAGGGCAATCCGCAAAAGACAGAGGCCCGCAATTTCTCCCGGTTCGGTGTCAATGCAATATTCATCCCTCTGCGGAAACCGTACAAGATTCATGCGACGAGACCGCACCGAAAATTTTGGCATTCGCGTCGGCGAAGGTTCCCGCGGAGCCGTTTCAATTAGTAAAGAAGCGCATCCGCCGGATAAACCCGAAAGAGTTTCTTCCGGTCCGAGATCAGGGAACAATGTTGCCCGGCCGCAAACGTTTACATGCTTCCAGCTAAGTTGCCCGAACGTGAATCTAGCCGGGCGCAATCTTTTCAGCGGCGGCCGACCCCCGGCGTCGAGTCGGATTGTATACTAAATTGCTCGCAAGTTACCGCGGACTGGCCGCAGTCAACGGTTCCCCGCTTTACCTCTCTTTCTTTTACAATGCCCTAGTGCCGCGAGATAGCTTCCGTTCCGCCTCGCCTCGCTTTTTTTTCTGCGACTCCACCCCGAAACGAGAGAGAGAGAGAGAGAGGGAGCTTATGGTTACCTGAGGTCGCGGAATCCCGGATGCCCGGCACCAGAAGGTAACGTTCCCCTTGCCGACCTCGGTCTTCACGGACGGCCCGATCGTGAAGATCTCCGGCCTGCAGGCGAACTCGTCGCTGCTGATCTCGTCCCACATCTTGTCGGCTAGGGTAGCCGGGTACTGGCACGTGGTAGGTTTCGTGTACAGCTTCCGCTCGATCGTCCAATCACGGAATTTCTTGAGATGGCAGTTGCAATCCCACGGATTATTCTGGAGCTCGAGGCTGCCTAGCTTCGGCAGGAACTCGAAGCTCTGCACCTTCAGCGTCCTCAGATTGTTCCCGTTCAAGGTAACTAACTGCAGCCCCGGCAGATTGCGAAAAGTCTTCTCGTCGATACGCTCCAACTCGTTGTTCGACAGTATCACCTTCTGCAGGTAGTGCAGGTCTCGGAACAGATCCTTCTCCAGTACTTTCAACTTGTTGTCGTTCAACAGCAACACCCTCAGCCTCTGAGTCTCGTTGAACGTGCCCGGGTACAGGGTTTTTATGTGATTCGCGGACAGGTCGATCTCGATAACGATCTTCAAGCCGTTGAACGCGTCCGTGTGGATCGACTCGATGTCGCACTTCCGCAGCACCAGCTTGTGCAGGTTCACTAGATAGACGCGGCTGAAGGAGTTGTACATCAGGTGCGTGATCTGGTTCCCGGTCAGATCGAAGTTCTGGACCTCGGGCGATAGGCCTTCCGGGATCTGCGTCAGGTTCTGGTTGATGCATTCGGCGGTCTTCTTGCCGGACACCCATCTGCACTTGCACGACGGCGAGCATTGCGCTGTCCAATCCTGCTGGCTCCAGCAGACCACAACCATCAGCGTCGAGTAGAGCAACAGTTTCGCTGTTCTTAGCTCCATCCCGAGGATTTCTGTTAACACGAGAAACACAACGGCGAAGATTAGAGAGAGAGTCAGAGTGCGAAAGGGAGATTGTTGCAAGTAATTGCGGCGGCCTGCGCCATTTGTCTCTTAATCTACGACCCAGAACCTTTTCCTTAAATGAACGTAAATTGCTGACTCTACGCGGTAAAAAGTTTCGTTTCAATTTTCGTAAATTAATACGCGAAAATGCGGTCCAGGAAATGATATAAAATAGTCCTTAATCAGCTAGTGCGCCACGAGCATCCACGAGCGCCAAGCGGCGCTTTAATTAAAACATTTTTAACCAGTAATGTTTACGCAACACCGTGTACCATGGGACAGCGGGGGGCTCGCCGGGTCGAGCAACGCGATCAACAGGAGGAAGCTGAACTTTCGTAGTTACCAGAGGAAGTCCGACAACAGAGCTGTATAATACTTCCGTTACCAGGACCGACCGCCATCTTCGTTTCTCCGAATCCGCCCCCCGCGTTTCTCCGTTTCCTCCTTTTTCGTGTTTTTACCTCGCTCCGTTTTCTTTACACTTCTTGGCCAGTTTCGTTAATCTCGAACTCGGGGGAGGAGAGTCACCTAAAGCGCGGTACCGTTGGCAATTTAGCTTAATATCATTTTGGTGTAGCCCCCTCTACTTCACTCGCGACCCCATCCCCCCATTCCCGCTCGTCGTCGGTCGGCGAACGCGCGTTGCTGAAGTTAAATTAATACAACACGACGACGAACACAGTTTACCCCTTTTATTATCGTTGGGTCCGTGGAGTCCAAGGGCGTGCATCAAATTACTCCCACCGCCGTGCAGGCGGCTAGTACAATTCATTTTGTACCTCCCTCCGGGATAGAGCGCAGGAAGACGGGCTCGAGGAAACGGCGCGCCGCGCGACGGCGGTTGCATCGAGCACGACTACGACGACTACAGAGACGACGACGACGACGACGGCGACGTTCTTACTATTTGAATTTATTCCGAAACTCCGAGGGGAAGAAAGAACGCCGGAGGAAGAGTATCTCTCCTGGCGGCGAGTGTGACGAAAAATCGGAGGAAAAGAAGGAGCGACGACGGAGCAGCGTCGGTTATGCGCGGGTAAATCGATTCCCCGGCCGGGGAAAGGACCCTCGAACATTATAATAATGTCAATTCTCGTGGGCTCGATATAAGCGAACGTTACACAAATTCAATTACGGTCGACGCCGCGTATACCACCAACAAACCTCGTTTATCAGGTACAGGGGACGCACCGCGGCGCGTAGGTAAATCGGATCGAGTTATCGAATATTTCTAAAGGGAACAAATTGGCCCACCAGATCCCGTTCGAATCGGACGCGGAGACAATCGTAAACATTGTTCATTACCGACGTAACTACTCGTCATTTTTTTTCCCGCCCGCCTCGGAACGACACAATCGATAATGCCATTTGTCCAGTTTACCTGTCGGCGCTCATCGAAAATCTCGTTGCGCCGGACAGGGACGATTGTTCGTTCCGCGCGGGCGATAACGTAATTCTTTCAATTCAGCGCGCGAACAGATTATTACGCAATTCCATTCGCCGTCAATTAAGGCTGGCGCTTCACGGCTAGATACAGGGATTTTTTCGTTTCCGGCTACAATCGGCCGGCGACGACTCTACGCTGGCGGCAATAAATAACGCGATTCGAAGATAATGCAAATCCCCGGTTCACGCCGCGACGCAACGGCGCGAAATAATCTCGCGCGCGCCGATCGGATCCCTTCGGTGGAAGCACGCGTGAAAAATAATTATAGCGAGGCCGTATTATACCCCGTTAAACCGGCGATGGCGCGACAGTAATCGCCTATACTTTCGCGAATTAAATCACTCCGAAGTCGCGCCGCCGTTTTATCTCTTGATAACGGCCGAACCCCGATCCTCCCGCACATTTCATTATTTCTATCCCCGGCGGCCTCATAAATAACGCCGAATTCGAGCGAACGGAAAGTCGGAGGGGGTGGGGGTTCGTCAAGTCCATTAACTTCGGCCGCGCAGAAAAGCCGGCGTCGTCGAAGGAGAAATAAATGGGCAGGGTCGCGAGAATTTATTTCTCGTCGTGGAACCAAGATTCCTCCCGTTCCCCCCGTTCCGGATGGAGCCAGTGCTTAGCGGTGTCGTCCTTCGGCGCGAGAACTTTCCACATGCATGACTCGTGCGAGCGGCCTCCTCAGGACCGGGAACTTTTTCGAGTCTCCGGCCGCGACCGGGGAACTCGTGACCCCGCGCGCTTTGTCGCTCCACCGGACTTTATCTGGTCGCAGGGCAGGAAGGGAGGGTGTTGGAGGATCCTTTTGTGCCGGGTCTCGCGGCGAACCGCGCGGGAACAAAATAAATACGATCCCGTGACTCGTCGTGCATTCTATTTTTCTCGTTACACGCTATCCATTGTTAAATCTCTCTCTCTATATCTCTATCTCCCTTTCTCTCGCTCCCAACAGCGTCATCAACCACGGCATTCTTTACCCGGCTTTTCCAACCCCCTCCCCGTCGTTTCCCAAGCTTCAGCGCTGGTGCCGGTTTCACCTGATCGTTGTAACGCGCGTCGATCGATCCCATTTGACTTGTAAATATCCAACCAACGAGGACATTAGATATGCATAAGGCGAAAGTAAAGAGTTTATATACCCTCTATGTATACTATGTAGAAGAGGAACGGGGTGAGCGACGAGGGTTACGGGGAGGGGTAGAAAGAGGATCAGGGAGAGGGTGAATTTCGGAGCGGCGCGGTTAACCGGGACGACAGGGGGCGAACTGGAAGCAGTGTCCTTTGGAAACACGGGCCGGAAGACACCTTCTACGTGCCTTGTTCCAGGACGTGCACAGTCGGAAGGAGTTTGACGTGGACATACGTCCCCGTGTAAGTGTGCGCGGGGCTCCCGACCCACCTGCCGTTTGCATACCTCTCGGAAAAAGGTACGCCCAACAGGGAGGAGGCATGTGTTTTTCTCGTTCGAACGGAATTCCAAATTGCCGCGTTCTCTATCAATCAAAATCATCCCCTCCGACGCTGTTCCTCCTGGGATTACGTGTCTCGATCATCGGGTCGTTTTCATAAAAACTTCATCGATCATGCTTGTCTCGTGACGAGATCGCAATCGTTTTCGTACCGAGCGTGCTTTTTCCTTCGCAGCGGTTCCTGCGGATTTCGTGGCGCGAGCGTTGAGGTTCATGACGAATGGAGTAAACCGATTGTTTAAAGAAATCGAAGAGAACAGAAAAGAAACTTCCTTTTAAAATGGAGAGAACTTGATAAGGGGGTGGATACGATTTATTAACGAAGCAATTACGTTCGCGAATCAAGAAGACAAGTCGAGTTATATGAAATAATCCTTATTTTACGATTGCCGTTTGAAATTCGCTTATTTACCTAACACAATTGATGGGAAATATTAATAGACGTTCGACGAGTAAACAGATAAATGAAATTTCCAATCTCCGAAACTCGTCACAGTGGGAACAGAAGTAATCGGGCGTTTCATGGTTCATACAATCGTTATTGCGTCGCGTAAATCGATCTTCCCGCGAGCCATTAACAGGATAGACGGTTTTCCATAGATCCGCGCGGTGGTTTTTCTTTTCCCCGGTCGGATATTAAAAAAGAAACTCGAAATAATACGAACTCGTTACGATCCCGTACGCGATCTGATTCGGATTGAAACGGTCCAGCAGCTTCCGGAGATCGGGCCGGAATTGGCGGCGCATCGATTAACGTATCTTTTCACATGCAAAAAGGTACCCCGCAGTGATCCTCGCCTAGCCGACGAATCTCCCCGATTAATATCCGCCATTTCGCGAGCAATCGTCGAAGCCCGAGCCAATGAATTATGGCGTGATCGCCGGTTTGCCGAGCTATTATAAATCCTATCGATTGCCGCCCACTGTCACGGATGCTCAACGGCGATCAATGCCACGTTTACGATTCTGTGCCCAATCATAGACCGATCGAAACGGATTCGACGATACAATTATACGATATGTTAATCAAACCGAGACTCGGAAATCTGTTGTCCGTAAATTCGCTAATAACCCCGAGATCGACGGACCGGTCCAAACGACATCGACGTCCAATCGATTCCCAGTTTCGCCGGTGTTAAATCCAGCGTCGATGTTTAAAATTTCAGCCATTGTTTCG